GTATCTGGCTTGCTACTTGGTTCTAGTAGATTAAACACTTTGCCACTAGGCCAAAATTTACCAAACTACATTGCCGATTATCACCTGAATGCTGTCTGACTCACCACATTGTGAAGTTAATTATTCACAGAATAACTTCATTGTGAATTACAAGCAAAATTTACCAAACTACATTGCCGATTATCACCTGAATGATGTCTGACTCACCACATTGTGAAGTTAATTATTCACAGAATAACTTCATTGTGAATTACAAGTGTTACCCATGAGATTGAGCTCGAGGACATCTTTAAGACACAAGAAAGTTGTAAGAGGAATGGACAAGGAGCTCAAGTTCCCCACTCCTGACAGTTTCCCTCAATTGTGTAAGGTTTAATTCTTACAATGCACTCCTTGTTTTATAGTAGTCATAGTGGTTCTGTCCCCCTGACTAAACCTTATATGATGCAGTTTATATAAAAATTGAGTATATAATCTTGTGAGAAAGATAAGTAATTTTTACTTCTCAATAAATGCTTTTACAAAGACATATATGCATTTCTATTGAGATATATATACTGGAATTACACAACCAAAACTGGGAGGGGGTTGGGAAAGTTCCTGGAGGACCTAGATATAAAGTTTATCATAAAGAATACATATGATGAATGAGAAATAGGGCCAGTGGATACATTTTGGTTCTTTTCCCCCTAAAATGTATATTCCTGAGATGTAGGTCATATGAATATGACTTCTTGGAGATGTTGCTACAAGATTAATCAGTTGCATCACACAACTACAAACTAGAGAACACACCCGCAAATTGACTGTCCCTCCTCCTACTTTTCTTACCCTCATTCCTTGCTTATGCTTCCTGAGATTTTACTCCATAGAATTTTACTGACTCAGGCTTTGTGTTCTGCAGAACTCATGCTAAGATAATTGGACTCCACATAGCCCTAGTAAGCAGATACTCAGAATGAGGTTTTGGCTCCAGTGGCAAGGACCTTATTTCTGATGATAGGTAGGGTAGTGAAAAGTCACTGGTTTGCAGTAGCAGCACACTTACTAAGGGCTTTCCTGTGGTTAATTGAGAGGAGGTGTAGGTTTGAATGAGGCATGGTAGTTGTCACTTGAACTTAATGTTAGAAATCAAAATTGCAATGATTGTGGAATGGTCTAGTTTCTTTAAATTGCATTAGAAGACATTTAGAAAGATTTGTCTCTTGAACCTCAGCACAGCCAGATAAGGAAATATCATTTTGCTTTGGTGGTTGATCCTAGGAAGCTCAGTAATGCAATGTGGAGACTAAGATAGGAAAGGAAAAATAATCTAATTATGTTGGTGTGTTGGTTAACATTGTGGACAACAATGATGTACTAGAGACACTGAAAAACTGAGTTGAACACACCTCAGAATTGTCTCTCTGAAAGATAAAAGGCTTATAATTGCAAACAAACAAACAAACAAACAAACAAAACCCCTAAAAACCAAAAACCAAAAAACTAAATATCTAAATATGATATATCAGGATAATTGTTAAATAAACCTGTTACATGCATGCAATGCAATGATAAATACCAGGAAAATATAATCAATGTGAATATATCTCAAAACAAATGTATTGCATGAGAAATGTTTCAGAAAGATATGTGCATTATGATTTCCATATAAATCCCCTGAAGAAAAAACAAACTAAGCTATATATGTTGTTTACAAATACCTGTCATTTATAAAACATATTAAACATGTACAGCAATGATGCATATGTTCAGAACAGTGGTTATAACTAGAAAAGAAAGGATGGGTGTGTACAGAAAGGGTTCTAATTT